GCAATAGGTGTAGGCTGCCGGGGGATTCCCATGATGCATTGAGTTTTTCCTTTCCAGTCACCTTTCTCACTCACTATGTATTAACAGACCTCTCTGCATTGAATCATACCTGTTATTAACCTCTGTCTCTCTTCCACAGCATGTCTTTATCCTGTCTTCCTTCTCTCACCCCAACCGGTCGCAGCAGATGGCCCCGCCCCTCCCTGACCCTGGTTCTGCTGGAGGTTTCTTCCTGTTAAAAGGGAGTTTTTCCTTCCCACTGTTGCCAAAGTGCTTGCTCATAGGGGGTCATATGATTGTTGGGTTTTTCTCTGTATCTATGAAGCACCTTAAGGCGACTTATGTTGTGATTTAGCGCTATATAAATAAAATTTAATTGAATTGAATTTTCAACATGGATGTATTTTTCAACAGATTCAATACTGCAGTCAGCCAGCACTCCACAGCCGCTCCAGTGTCTCTCCCTCTCTCTCCATATTGTACCATAGCTTCCTGTGAGAGTCCTGACACCCCTCCCCCACCGGTCACTTTTACTCATGGCCAGGTTCAGAGACTAATGAGAAGACTCCAATCAGGCCAGTCTGCTGGACCAGACGGGGTGAGTCCTCCAGGCCTGTGCACCCCAGTTTTATGGAGTCTTTCACAAAGTGTTCATGATGAGTCTGAGCGTCCCAGTGCTGTGGAAGATGTCATGCCTGATTCCTGCACCAAATACGCCACATCCCAGTGGCCCCCACTTTCCACGTCATGAAGACCCTGGAAAGACTCATCCTGGACCAGCCCCGACCCATAGTCAGACCACATCAGGATCCTATTTAGTCTCCTCGAGCTAAGGAGGCTCAATCTACACCCAGCTGAACCAGCTGGTGACCACTGTGAGTGTCATGTTTTTGTCCAGTGTATTGAACACCACCAGCCTGACCCTCTTGGGTGATAAGCTGACAGCGATGCAGGTGGATGCCTTTTCCGTGGCCTGCATTGCTGACTACAATATGTGTCTTCAACATTGTGTGCCTGACAAGGTGATCAGCAACAAGGACTGTCCTCTCCCCCTCCCTCTTCACCCTCTACACCACAGACTTCAGCTTCTGCACAGAGACCTCCATCTTCAGAAGTTTTCTGATGACTCTGCGGTGATTGGACTCATCAGTGAGGGTGAACGAAACAGAGTACCGGGCTGTGGTTGAGTTGGCATTGCACCCTACGTTTGCTGATGGAAGTACTGATGAAACTTGCATCCATCTATTCTCTTCTTTATCCTTGTTAGGGTTGTGGGGGTGCTGGAGCTGTCTTAGGGCGAGAGGCAGGGTACACCCTGGACAGGTCGCCAGTCAGTCGCAGGCCTAACACAAAGAGACAAACATTCACACTCACATTCACACCTATGGGCAATTTAGTGTTTCCAATTAACATAACCCCACTAACTGCATGTCTTTGGACTGTGGGAGGAAGCTGGAGTACCCGGAGGGAACCCATGCAAACATGAGGAGAACATGCAAACTCCACACAGAAGGGCCTTGGCCTGAGGGTGGAATCAAGCTCAGGACGTTCTTGCTGTGAGGCAAAAATTACAGCACTGTGCTGCTTTGAGTGTAAAATCAATGATCATAGGCAGGTAGTGCTAGAGGTTTTTCCTGATGTTAGGCTTCAACCTAAACATCATTATGCAAAACATTATCCAACTCTGCTTTGGGGCCCTGCTGCACATTTAGACCACAATAATTGAAGCCAAACATCTTTTTTTTTTTTCAAAAGAGTGGTGCATGACACTCAAACATTTCAAAATCTACTTTGAAAACATTGGCAATTAGCCACCAGCAAATCACGGCAAACTCCCAGCAGATAGATTCCTGTCACAATCATCATCATTCTGGGTGTCTGAACTCTCACAGTCAATGTTGTTGTTAAGTGGACTGAAACTATAAATCTCTTGTGAGCTACTCTGAGCTACAATGAGGCTCTCTTCTTTGCAGGATGAGTGAAATGGCTGGCTCTGCAAAAATGTGTGGTCACATGACCAATTTCTTCTATGGTTCCCTAGAAACAGGGGTGGCACAACTTCCCCGCTGGCACAAATCACCCCACTTTGCCCTAAAGCAAAGGTAAGAACTAAACTTACCTTTTTTTAACCTCTGGCAGTTCACCACTTACCTTTGTACCATTTCAAGTTATTCATTGGACGGGAAACGACCTGAATTGCAATAAATAACTGGAAAGATTGGGGTGTTCTAAAACTTCGGTAGTGTGCAGATTTAAGAAAGCAAATTTTTGCTGCCATCTGTTTGTCTTTTTTTTTTAGCGTTTTCGTTGCATCTCAGTTAGAGTACCAAATATCCAGATTTGGTCATCCTTAAAAGTCTGTAAGTCAATCAGAAGGATCCGATTCCAGTTCTCACAACCAGGACAAATATTGGCTGGATTACATGATCCATCATTTACACATATTCAGGCTCAGACCATAACACTATCATCACGTTTGACTGTTGGTATGATGTTCTTTTTATGAAATGCTGTGTTAGTTTCATACCGGATGGAATGAGATGGAAACCTTCCAAAAAATTCAGCTTTTGTCTCATCAGTCCACATAATATCTTCCCAGAAGTCTTGGAGATTGTTAAGTTGTTTTATTGGCCAATGAGCCTTTGTGTTATTGGTCACCTGTGGTTTTCGTCTTGGAACTCCTGAATGCCATTCTTGCCCAGTCTCCCAGTCTTTCTTATTCATGAACACTTACCTTTAACTGTGTTAACAGTGGGAAGTAGAGGGGCAGTTCTCTGGATATTGTTCTGGGTTCTGTGACCTCCAGGATGAGTCGCTGATGCACTCTTGGAATAATTGTTGTAGGCCTACGAGGGTTCACCTCTGTTCCAGTTTACGCTCTTTGTGGATAATGGCTTTTACCATGGTTCACTGGAGGATCAAAGTCTTAGCAGTGGGTTTGTAAGCTTTTCCAGACTGTTGATCTCAATTACTTTGTTTTATCGTTTTCTGTTCTATAGTTTATAGCTTCTTTAAATGATGACTTGATATGTTGTTTTTGAGATCGCTTAGCCTGCTTTGCTTTGTCAGACAGCTTTTATGTAAGAAATTGAAGTGGTTGTAATTCAACATTGTTTTGTTCTGTCTTTGATGCTGAGACGTAGTGGCCGGGATACAGCAAAGCTGAAACCATGAGACTGCCTTCACCATGTTTCACAGATGGAGCTAGGCTTTTGTTAGAAGAGTAACAGTAGATAGAAATCACCTACATAGAAAAAGCAACTGAAAAAATGCCAAAGTCATGTAGCCTGTAACGTCGTTCAGCATGAGATGTTTTGTGTTGGGGCATTAATTATCTGGGAAGAAATATGCTTGGGGGGATGCTTAGACCTCAACCAGCTAGGCCTCATGTAGCAGGAGTATCCACCTGAGACTGGGAGCTGTTCACGAGCATGGAGGATGAAGGAATGAATATTGACTGGTTTTTACTGAAACATAGTATTTAATAATGCAAGAGAGAAAACCCAGCAATCATGATCCCTGTTAAACAAGCATTTGGCGACAGTGGGAAGGAAGAACTCCCTTTTAAAACAAAGAGACCTCCAGCAGAACCAGGCTCAGCAAAGAGAAGATGGGTAAGAAAATAGAAAAAAGAGAACATAAGGAGACAAGGATAAAGCAATCTTTAGCAGCATAACAAACAGATGGTTCAGGATCAGCCTGTCCTGTTCTAAGTTTTTTTCAGTCGAATCTTTAATGTAGCAGTTGTGTTTTTCTCCCAAATTGTAACCGGTTCCACAGGAGAGGTGTTTGATAGCTGAAGGCTCCGCCTCCCATTCTACTTCTACAAACAAATAAGCCTGCATCAGTTTTTCCTAGGGTGCTTTATTTGGATAATACAGTGTTTTAGAGTCATTATTCAAGATTTAGTTTGGGAGGAAAATAATCTTAAATGAACTTTACAGATGCCAACAAGGAGAAGTAGCTTCTTCCCCTAAAAGGCTGCTCCTCTTAGGAGTTACTACAGCCGATCATCTCCTTACATCTCACCGTATCCCTGTCACCCTCCTGTAATTCCAAGCCTCTGCATATCCTCTTTCACTACATCCATCAATCTTCTCTGCGGTCTTCCTGTTTTCCTCCTGCCTGCCAACTCCATATTTAAAATCCTTTATTTAGTATATCCATCTTAAACAGTCCCTTCCACTCCTGCTGTTGTTCTTCTTTCACACGTTACCCCTGACACCTGTCTCCACTCACTCCACCCTTCCTGCACTCTCTTCATCTATTGTGCTCTGTGCGTTTCTTTGAATGGGTGACCCCAGGTATTTAAATTCACCTATCTTCCCCGTTTTTTGTCCTTGATGCTCACCTTTCGACCCGTTTCCCTCTCATTCACATACATGTAGTTCCCCTGAAAAGAAACTGACATCAGAGAAATATGGTGATTCTTTCTACACGTAGTTATTACTCTCACTGGAGTGTTAAGGATCAACTTTTAGGCTGATTTTAATTATGATTTTAAAACAGTCTGATAATAAAGTAATTATAGGACTCCAGCCTAGAAGTAGCATGAACTACTTTTTCAGCAACACTTGGAGATGCTTCTAATTTTGTGTAATAATGAGGACCCCAACCTATTGCAAAACTAGCAACTGAACAGATGATGGAGATGGAAAGCAGTCCTACATATTTGTTTAATATGTGCACTGAAGGACCAAAATGATCAAAATGACTCCAAGGTTCCTCACATTGTTCCTCGAGGCTAAGGTAAGGTCATCCACAGTTAGCATCTGGCTACACATCAGGTTGCTAAAAATTTTAAGGCCAAGAACAATAAGAACTTTTGTCTGAATTTAGAAAACTACAGTTTACCCACGGCTTTAAGAATGCTATATATTTCAATTGACTGATTTGTGATAGGTTTCTGGTTTCCTATAACGGGGCATCGTCTCCATAGCAAAGACTATATATACCTTCATTCAGTGTCTTACTTCATTTGTCCTTTGTGTTTTTCACAGAAGTCAAAGCAACGCCTCTCTAAGGAGCTGTCAGACTGTGTTGTTTACTGCAAAAGTGTCCATTTCACTAGCTTCAAACACTCACGTATTCACTCCAAGTTCTATGAGGTGGCTTCTTTCACAGAGTCTAAAGCCCGGAAACACCTTAGAGACGCCGGTTAGTTCACTCACATGCTTGTTTTCTAATACAGATTTTGTTTTTGACCACACGAGAGTAACTTTTCTGATATCTATTTCAGGGGCTGAATTTGTGCACCATAACTCACGGCAGCTGAGCAGAGTTTATCCCAGTGGTTTTCGAACAGACTCTTCCAATTTTAATCCTCAGGAAATGTGGAATGCTGGTTGCCAAATTGGTGATGCAACAATAAGACAGATTTAAGTCTATATCAAGCATTTTTCAACACTGCTCTCAGATCATTTACATTAATGCCTGACTTCTCACTGTGATATGTTTTGCTTGATGATATAATTTCACTCTTAATTTGGAATGATTAGGAGTTTTATTTTCATGGTAGTCCAGGTAAAATACAGAAATACCAGGTTTGCTGGCAGGAATCCCCTAAATCAGGCTCCTTTCAGCGTCTTTAGATCTTTTCTGAAGCAAAACTAAAGCAGAAAGTCGGTATTGTCCTTATTTTAACACTATGTTTAGCAGCAGCCACCATCTGTGTTAGGTGTGGCTGTGTGCAGACAGGAATAGGACCCAAGGTGCAGACTCCGGAGACAGAACTTAAACCAAAACAGCTTTAATGCTGAACTCAAACATAACATAACTGGGGAAAAAGGTCAAAAATAAACTAACACCAGCGGATTGACAAAACACACAGCAAAATAAACGGTAGATCGCAACATGGACACAGAGAAACACAGGGCTTAAATACACAGAAGGAGCAATCAGGGAATGAATAACAGGAGGAAAACACAGCTGGGGCAAATCAGAACTGACGAGACAAAAGGAAGCGTAAACTGAACACACTGAGATAAGACAGAGACCTTCAAAGTAAAACAGGAAACACATAACACAGACTCACATGCAGGCACTACAGAGGGAACAGAGACGTGGGACCAGGGCAGACACAAACACTGACTGAACACGGGGATATAGAAACTAAGGATACATAGAGACGCGAACTAGACAAGGGGATACAGGTGATAGGGGAGACAGAGCAACTAAAGAAGACAGAGACATAAACCATAAGACAGAACTCAAAGAAACCAAAGACTAAAAAGTATAAATAATATAATAAACTCAAATACCCTGGGTCAACGACCCAGGCATCCTAACAGTACCCCCCCTTAAGGGCTGGCTTCCAGACAGCCCAAACCAAAACACCAAAACAAAAAACAAAACAAAACAAAAACAACCCAACCAGGGCGGGCGGCGGGGGAAACAGGATGGAGGGCTCGAAACAAAACCAAACAAGGAGCCAGAAAGAAGAAAAAAAAAAAAAAAAAAAAAAAAAAGAACAAACAACGGAGCCCGGAAAGCAACAGAACAAAATACAGGAACAAAGTCCAAAACAACAGCACCAAGGCCCAGGCACAGTCCAAAAGCAAACAAACAAAAGAGCTCACGAAAGGCGCAGAGGCCCAGGCAATAGTCTCAAAACAGTTCAGGGGGGCCAGCCCGGAGGCTAACGGCACAACAGTCCAAACCCGGGCAGGTCAGGGGGGCGGCCCGGAGGCTGATGGTCCAAGAGCCCAGAAAACAGGTCAGGAGGCCGGCCAGGCGGGAGGCACCGGTGGCGACGGAGCAGATCAGGAGGCCGGCCGGGCGGGAGGCACCGACGGCGACCGAGCAGATCAGGAGGCCGGGCGGGCGGGAGGCACCGACGGCGACCGAGCAGATCAGGAGGCCGGCCGGGCGGGAGGCACCGACGGCGACCGAGCAGATCAGGAGGCCGGCCGGGCGGGAGGCACCGACGGCGACGTAGTTCAGGGGGTCGTCCATGACGGCAATGATGTCCAGTCATCGGCCGGACAGGACGTGCAGGACGAGCAGGCCGGACAGGACGTGCAGGACGAGCAGGCCGTGCAGGCCGGACAAGACGTGCAGGACGTGCAGGAACAGACAGCATGGAGACCTCAGGAGCAGATGAAGCTGAACACTCGGAGGCCGGACCAGGCGGAGCTACAGAGGCTGAGGCCGGACCAGGCGGAGGAGCCGGTGGTGGCTGAACGGCCTCGCCAGAACCATCAGCAGACACTGGGACGTGCTGGCTGGGTCCTCCCGGACCCCCAGCTGACGAGGCAAGAGGCTGAACGGCCCCTCGGATCCTCCAGCAGGAAGAGTCGGCTGAAGCGGTTCCTCGGACCCTCCAGCGGCGACAGGTGGCTGAACGGGCCCCTTGGACCCTCCAGCAGAGACAGGTGGCTGAACTGGCCCCTCGGATCCTCCAGCAGGAAGAGACGGCTGAAGCAATCCGGTTGTTCAGTGATGACGCGACGAATCCTACTTCCGGGCCTAAAGCAGTCTGCGTTTAATATGGCTTTTGTGTTGTTAACATGTTTAATGTTATGTATTTTCTTCTATTTAATCTCAAAAAGCTCCTAAAACAGTCAGTGATCACTGTTGACCTCCCTCGGCTTTTATTACCGCTAATCATTTATTTAAGCTCAGTTTTTAAAACCTTAGGATGTAACTGCAGCCCAGCCCATGCAGCAGTATATGAATGACTAACCTCGTATTGTGGATGGATTATCTCAGTTGTTCTCCTGGCTGAAGTTTGGTCCTTTTACAGCATCCTGCCATGCGATTACATTTGTTCCTGACCACCGAGAACACTCACGTTAACTTTTATCGAGTGGAGAAAAAAAGTTAGCTTGTTTATATTATGCTAACATAGCTATGTCGCAAGCGGTCACGTAGCACATCATTATATACCAGCTAGCCCAACTTCAGTAACCCTACAAACGTCACTGCTGTTTAGTTTTCTGTCTTCATTTATGCTGGAAGTGATAACAGAGCTGTACGTTTTAATTTGTTTCCAAAACCCCGCAGTCAGGACATGCTATATTGTATTTAGATAGAAGCTAGCGAGCTAACTCCATGCTAACTTCTAACTCTGTTAAATGTCATAAATTCCGTTTTCATGGATGCCTGGATGTTAAACTCAATTGTTACACCTGGTAGAGCAGAACGCTGATCATTTTATTAAAGATGAAAGACTTTAGACAGTTTTTCAACTCTCAGTAATGCCACAGTGATCGTTTGATATATGGACCTGCAGCGGAGTTTAGGCCCAGACACGGCTAGTGACGTCAGACTGAACAACCGGATTCCTCGGACCCTCCAGCGGAGACAGGTGGCTGAACGGGCCCCTCGGACCCTCCAGCTGACGAGGCGTGAGGCTGAACGGGCTCCCCGGGCCCTCCAGCTGACGAGGCGTGAGGCTGAACGGGCTCCTCGGGCCCTCCAGCTGACGAGGCGTGAGGCTGAACGGGCTCCCCGGGCCCTCCAGCTCACGTGGCGTGAGGCTGAACGGATGACCGAGGAGAGGAGCGACGGTGGCGTCGCTCCCTTTTAGACGAGGGAACAGGAACCGGTGGAGAAACGGAGACCTCCTCCTCATCCTCCGACCACACAGCCGCCAGAAAAAGGCAGGCGAACGGACAGGCGAACAAGGTCCCGGCTGGCGTGAGGAAGGGGAGGAAGCCTGCAGTGGCGATGAGGCAGAGTGTGCGTTGCCCTGCGGCAGCGGTGGGGAAGATATAGTGAGGGAGAGAGCAAGCTCACTAGCCCTGACTTGCTCTCTCCAGGCAGTTATGGTGTTCCCCAACTCAGTGTCCTTAGCAAACTGCCTAAGCCAGGGATTATGCCGAATGATGGCCTCCACCGCGCTCAGCCCCACTGCCATGATCCTTAAATCCGAGGACTGGGCGATGCGGTCGAGCAGGCTCACCAGCCGCTCCATCTCGCCGTTGAACTCTGAGAAAAAGGAGTCTGCAGGGTCCATGTTCTGGTCGCGATCTTCTGTTAGGTGTGGCTGTGTGCAGGCAGGAATAGGACCCAAGGTGCAGACTCCGGAGACAGAACTTAAACCAAAACAGCTTTAATGCTGAACTCAAACATAACATAACTGGGGAAAAAGGTCAAAAATAAACTAACACCAGCAGATTGACAAAACACACAGCAAAATAAACGGTAGATCACGACACGGACACAGAGAAACACAGGGCTTAAATACACAGAAGGAGCAATCAGGGAATGAATAACAGGAGGGAAACACAGCTGGGGCAAATCAGAACTGACGAGACAAAAGGAAGCGTAAACTGAACACACTGAGATAAGACAGAGACCTTCAAAGTAAAACAGGAAACACATAACACAGACTCACATGCAGGCACTACAGAGGGAACAGAGACGTGGGACCAGGGCAGACACAAACACTGACTGAACACGGGGATATAGGAACTAAGGATACACATAGACGCGAACTAGACAAGGGGATACAGGTGATAGGGGAGACAGAGCAACTAAAGAAGACAGAGACATAAACCATAAGACAGAACTCAAAGAAACCAAAGACTAAAAAGTATAAATAATATAATAAACTCAAATACCCTGGGTCAACGACCCAGGCATCCTAACAATCTGAGTTCTGTGTGTACATTTACAAAGATGCTCTTTTTCAGCTTTTTATAATGACGTACTGATGACGTGTTTGAAGGGTTAGAAACAGGGTTGGTCAGCAGGCTCAGCACAGTCTAAAGTATTGTTTGTGCGTCAATGGTCATTAAGTTTCCATAGTAGAAACTCAGCTTTGCAAAATGAACCCTTTATTTATCTTATTGTGTTTTTCTTTGACACCAACAAATAATTGTATTGAATTATTATTATTATTATTTACACAAAACTGTGATTTTCTGAGTTCTAACAAATATGCTTGGATATAATAATTATTTATTTCACATTTTTGTTCAGTTTTTTCATAATTAATATAATTATATTATATTAATATAATTAAATTCACAACTAAGCCTGCTGACAAACAAAACGTGACAGTTAGGCGTCCCAGGAAGAAACTGATACAAATGTAAGGAGACTTTCGTAAAACACTTTTTATTCATTTAAATTCAAATGTCAGTGACAGATGAGGAAGGAGATCCAGAAAGGAAAATTAAAATTACTTTAAGATGAAACAAATATTTTTCCTTCAAATAAAACATAAATAATATCTGTCCACATAATGTCACCACTTATTATACTGAATGATCCTGGCTGAAGCTAAAATCTGTGCAGCTTTAATAATAAAACAACAAAATGCCAAGTGGCCCAGCACATCATGCACTTAATCAGAACTGAACAGACCCAAACATTTCCCCAAAATCCCCACAAAAAATGATTTTTCTCCTCTTCCACTCAGTTGCTTTAAACTTCCAGACAGCAGGGGAGGGGATGGATGTGAACGATGGACTTTTTAGTCAGAACGGCTGCTGTGGCTATGTGTTGAAGCCCAGCTTCATGAGAGAGGCGGACGTAAGGTTTGACCCTGAGATGCCTCAGAAACGGGATCACTACCATCCTGTTGTCCTCACCGTACAGGTGAAAGAGAGATTTTTTATATATATTTTCATTAAAAAATCGATGGATCTCTTTAAAAGTGACGTCTTTACCACGCTGAACAAAATGTGTGTTTTCATTAAATGTAATGAAGGTGATCAGTGGTCAGCAGTTACCCAAAGTCAACATCAAAGAAGACTCTATAGTGGATCCTCTGGTCAGAGTGGAGGTCCATGGAGTTCCTATGGACCAGGCCAAGCAAGAGACGAGATATATTGAGAACAACGGTACATACTCACACTGACTTCAGTTTGATAAGGAGAGATCACTTGGAAGAATTGGACATCATTTATAGAGATAGAAAAGTTAGACTGCGATTACCCATCGTGGCAGAATGGAAACCCAGCCGTGGTAGGTTTAGGACCGGACCCCCCAGGAGCTCTGGCTGAGGTGTCTGAGGTGGAGATGGGGAAGAGGTGGGTCTTAAAGGGAGAATGACGGAGAGCACAGATTTAAACCGTGCAAAGCGGAGGCTGATTGGCTCAGATTAGACTAGTAATGATGTCAGCATTGACACTGACAGCGTGGTACAGCAGTAGTCATGTAAAGAACAGGAAAGCAGGTAGATGAGTGATTACAGGCCTTCTTTACTGCACTTATGTTTAAGCTTCATCAGAAACCATTTTAAATGTGATATATTAGACCCTGTCTGAGCGCTGGTGCTGAGCAGTTCATCCTTTTCACAGGGTTTAACCCCATGTGGTATGACACTCTGCATTTCACCATTCACACGCCTGAGCTGGCCATGGTGCGCTTTGTAGTGGAAGACTATGACAAGACATCTAAGAATGACTTTGTGGGCCAGTACACACTCCCTCTGAGCTGCATGCAGCAAGGTACGGATCAGTTTCTTCTTTAAACTTTGTCTTCATATTCACATTAACATTTAAAACAAATTTTTATTTGTATAGCGCCAAATCACAACAACAGTTGCCTCAAGGTGGTTAATATTGTGAGCTAGACCCTACAAGGATATGTTGGGTCTGTGTTTCCACAAGCCCCGCTAATTCTAGAGACTTATTCATCATGAAGAAAACAAGACAGTCGATCGATCAAACACTTGCGCAAGGGAGGCCTCATCTGTGTCCACCACGAAAATGACCTCGACCACGACCTCCCTCGCTGCCCTTTTTATTAAGACACAGTTCACACAAAACATGTCAGAACAAAGCCACGCCCCCTTGGTTCTGAGACAAAGCATTTGTATGTATATGTGTGAACTTCTGTAAGAATGTGTGTGTGTGTGTGTGTGTGTGTGTGTGTGTGTGTGTGTGTGTGTGTGTGTGTGTGTGTGTGTGTGTGTGTGTGTGTGTCAGACCTTCTGCTGACCAAAGGGTCGTAAACCCTGGAAGCTTACATCAAAAGAAACAGATCTTTCAGATAGGATGTATCTACAATAAAACCTCCCCAGCACAGAATGGTTGGAGAGGTGGTCAGGATCAAAGGAATGGCTTTGATCCTACTGCTTGAACTAACGCTGTACAAATTTAAGAAACACAATGGCGACATTCAACAATTAGACTTATCAGGATACAACCCCCCCATGTTCTCATTGGGTTTTCATGTGCTCCTCTTTGAGAGTCATCACCATTGCTAAGAAGCATCAAACACATTATATTCTTTATGCAAACTTACTGTTTGTGATCAGTGTTGCGGTCATTATTCAGAAGCGGTCATATATTACACACATTACACACACATTACATTTGTAATGGAGTACATTAATTAATTAGAGAAGAAAACAATGTTGAACTGCTACTTTGGCGTTTCTCTATAAAATAACCTGAAATGTCTCATAATTAGCATTTAACAATGTGAACCTGAGGCTACAGTTACACACCACATACACACATCCCTACGTGTGAGGGCACACATGTGATCTTTCTCTTAGTATTTAGCCTGACGGCTCATCACTGCTTTTGTTACCTGTTGAAGTTTAGGATCTGGCTGCTGGGTTGGAGTCGCCATTCACTGAGCCAAGAACCCAGACTGATGTTAAAGCTAACCTAGTGTTAGCATGCTGTGCAGATGCTTGCAAAGAGAAGATTGTGTTAGCAACATAACGCATTTCTTTCTGTCCTGGATGCAGTTTGCACTTTACCATCGTGCTCTCGTCCTTTTGTGCAATAATAAGTAATTTCCATATCCACACTGTACACTGCACCACTATTTTCAAATCAGCTGATTGTAGTGAGAGTGGAACAGATAAGTGGGATCAATAGGCAGGCAGACCAACGATTCCAAGGAACTGGACTACTGGGAACCAGTTTATTTTCCATTATACAATAAGAGTCTGAAAGATGTGGTGAAAACCCTCACTAGTAGAACCATAACATGACATTTGCAGTATTTTGTCTCTCATCTGTCGGCGTGTATAAATATACCTCGTTGCCTCCTAATTGTTTCCTCTTGTGTTCTTAGGTTATCGTCACATTCACCTGTTATCCAAAGATGGGACCAGTATACCTCCCTCCTCCTTATTTGTTTACCTCAGGATCAAACATCTGGAATAGCTGTGGGATTCTTTCTTCATACTATAACATTAATCTGAAAACAGTTCCCACCTGATCCTGTTACATTCAGATCATTTTTTTAACAATCACTTTATTTAATGAAGCTGCACAAAATGTCAAAACATTCATGATGAGAAAAATATGAAGTTACAGGATTTTTGCATTATTCTTACTCTGTCATACTTTTAATGTTTGAAATAAAAAAAAAATCTCAAAATATCGATTTTGTGCAGAATTTTTTTCTATGAACAAATATAAACATCGATATCATGAGAAATCATAGTTTCAGTGGTGGATCAGAACTATTTTGATGTAATAGTACTGTTGTACTGTTTGTTTTTGATCCTTCACTGGAGGAAACATTTCCAGTTCAACTTTAAATGGTCCTACGTTCATGTAATGATGTTGACCACATTATAAAATAGTTGATATGAAAGGAATCATGGATAATATGATGGCTTCACTTTATAGCTGCAGTTATTGTACTCGTGCTTTGATGAGATGAGAGAATACGTCCAAATCATAGAACCATTTGTATTTGTTGTCTTATTTGACATCACTGATACACTGCCCAGTGTGGGTCGTAGGGTTAGTAAGTAAATGTGCATATTTCTTCTTTGCTCCCTGCCCAACATTACTGCTCCTGTTGGGTGGACTGTGTGCACCTGCTGTACAGGTGAATGTGCTCCTTTCTATCAGTGCACTGTAGATTTTTACTTAGACAATCATGACTACTCTCCAGTCCTCAGGTTTAACTCTGGTCAAAGATCAGGACAAAATTATTCGCCCCCCTTTGAAAATTTCATTTTTTATATTATTTTAACGATTATTTTCCTACTGCTGTTATTTTACCATAGTTATATTTTTGTTACTGTATCGTTTTACTTTGCACACAGAAACAAAATTAGTTCACAAAAATAAAATCAAGTTTGCTTATTGCTGATAACAGGTATCTGCAGGTATTTGTTGTGTCTCACACACATCTCCTGAGTAATCCCAGCCCATTCTTCTTTGGTCAGTCATTGCACCAAAGAAGAATGGAAAGAACTTTTAACAGGAGGAAGAGTGAGGGAGGGACAGCCATCTGCCCTGACCGGTCTGGGGGGAGCGCAGGAAGACACAGTGTGAAGCAGAGCTAGAGTTTAATAATGACTGAATACAAAGTGGTGTATAAACACAGAGTGAAAAGAGGCTGATGAAGAAGTGCATCATGGGAAGCCCCCGGCAGCCTCGGCATATTGCAGCACAAGTAAACAAAGGATCAGGGTCATCGAGGATCCTTTGGGAGGCAGCGGCGAGAGAATCACTCTCTGCTCCTGAGCTGCAGTCACCCAGCTCCTATAGGGAGAGAAATAGGGAGGGACGACCTCCCCACACTAAACGACCACCCAGGCATAGTCTCACACACACACACACACACACACACACACACACACACACACACACACACACAAACGAATGACACAAGAACACACAAAGATATTTGAGACCGAGAGGTAGATCACTCCCATGGAGGGAGGGAATCAACCAGGAAACGGGTAACCCTGAACACCAAGGCCCCAGACTCCCCTGCAGCATCCACCAGCACCCCACACCACCCTAGACCTCTTTTATAGATGAAGAAACTCTTTCCTGGCTAAATGAAGATCTTCTGGGTTAGTCCAGCACCATTTCTTCTCCAGCTTACAGGTTACGTTTTTAAAGGTGCACATTTGTGAACAGGGAGTCAAGCACTTCTGAACGGAGGCTTTTCTTTCCAGACGGGCAACAATGTGCAGGGTCGTGTGCAGTGAGGATGTAACACTATGACCAATATAATCCACCTCTGTGGGAACAGAGTTTAACCAGCTGCTCTGTCTGTCACACTTTCAAATGACTGCTTTGGTAAATCACCAGAGGTGAAGGGAGCCACCAGGCTGAAGAAGGAGTCCTATCGGGCTTGGTTAGCCTGTGGGACTCCGGAGGCAGCCGACAGGTATCGACAGGCCAAGCGGAATGCGGCTCGGGCAGTGGCTGAAGCAAAAACTCGGGTGTGGGAGGAGTTCGGAGAGGCCATGGAAAAAGACTTTCGGACTGCCTCGAAGAGATTCTGGCAAACCGTCAGACGTCTCAGGAGGGGAAAGCGGTGCTCTACCTGCACTGTGTATAGTGCTGGCGGAGCGCTGCTGACGTCGACTGAGAAAATTGTCAGGCGGTGGAAGGAATACTTCGAGGACCTCCTTAATCCCACTGACACGTCTTCCGAGGAGGAAGCAGAGTCTGGGGATGAGGGGAATGACCCGCCAATTTCCGGGGGCGAGGTCACTGAGGCAGTTAAACAACTCCTTGGTGGCAGAGCCCCTGGTGTTGATGAGGTCCGCCCCGAGTTCCTGAAGGCTCTGGATGTTGTAGGGCTGTCCTGGTTGACACGCCTCTGCAATGTTGCGTGGAGATCAGGGGCAGTACCTGTGGACTGGCAGACCGGGGTGGTGGTCCCCATCTTTAAGAAGGGGGACCGGAGGGTGTGTTCCAACTACAGGGGGATCACACTCCTCAGCCTCCCTGGGAAAGTCTATGCCAGGGTGCTGGAAAGGAGAGTTCGTCCGTTAGTCGAACCTCGGATACAGGAGGAACAATGCGGTGTTCGTCCTGGTCGCGGAACACTGGACCAGCTCTTTATCCTCTCCAGGATACTTGAGGGTGCATGGGAGTTTGCCCAACCAGTCTACATGTGTTTTGTGGACTTGGAGAAGGCATTCGACCGTGTCCCTCGGGGTGTCCTGTGGGAGGTGTTGCGGGAATGTGGGGTGTCTGGCCCATTGCTACGGGCCATTCGATCCCTATACAACCGTTGCAAGAGCTTGGTTCGCATTGCCGGCTATAAGTCGGACTCGTTCCCGGTGGGTGATGGGCTTCGCCAGGGCTGCCCTTTGTCTCCGGTTCTGTTCATAATTTTTATGGACAGGATTTCTAGGCGCAGCCAAGTGGCGGAGGGCTTTCGCTTTGGTGGCCTCAGAATCTCATCTCTGATTTTTGCAGATGATGTGGTTCTGTTGGCTTCATCGGGTGAGGGCCTCCAGCTCGCACTGGAACGGTTCGCAGCCGAGTGTGAAGCAGCGGGAATGAGGATCAGCACCTCCAAATCTGAGGCCATGGTTCTCAGCCGGAAAAGGGTGGAGTGCCCACTCCGGGTCGGGGATGAGTTCCTGCCACAAGTGGAGGAGTTCAAGTATCTCGGGGTCTTGTTCGCGAGTGATGGGAGAAGGGAGCCGGAGATCAACAGACGGATTGGGGCTGCAGCTGCAGTAATGCGGACGCTGCACCGGTCCGTCGTGGTGAAGAGGGAGCTGAGTGTAAAAGCGAAGCTCTCAATTTACCGGTCGATCTACGTCCCTACCCTCACCTATGGCCACGAGCTGTGGGTAGTGACCGAAAGAACGAGATCGCGGATACAAGCGGCAGAAATGAGCTTCCTCCGAAGGGTGGCTGGCCTCTCCCTTAGAGATAGGGTGAGAAGTTCGGCCATCCGGGAGGGGCTCAGAGTAGAGCAGCTGCTGCTCCACATCGAAAGGAGCCAGCTGAGGTGGTTCGGGCATCTGACAAGGATGCCCCCTGGGCGCCTCCTGGGTGAGGTGTTCCAGGCATGTCCCACCGGGAGGAGGCCCCGGGGCAGACCCAGGACACGCTGGAGAGATTATATCTCTCGGCTGGCCTGGGAACGCCTTGGTATTCCCCCGGATAAGCTGGAGGAGGTGGCTGGGGAGAGGGAGGTCTGGGCCTCTTTGCTTAGGCTGCTGCCCCCGCGACCCGGCCCCGGACAAAGCGGATGAAGATGGATGGATGGATGGATGTTTTGGTTAATCTATACGTAGGTTTGAAAGACCTCTGCTCCTCCTCCTTTTACAGCATATGTGCTTTAACTGATTCATCCTGGTGTAACCAGGTCTCTGTGAGGCAGAATACATCAATCATTCACTAACAGGTCATCAGAAGACAGAGACATGATGTTTAATTGTCCACATTTAACTGCTTCAGTCTTTGGTTCCCACGGGGTGTCACAAGCCCGAGTCAGCCGGCCTGCAGCCTGGTTCAGGTGCTCCTGTGTTTTCAACTTTTTTCTTACTTTCTTTATTGGTTTGTTTTGAATACTGTTCTCTCTCTAAATTGTGGTGATATTTTATGCTTGGATTGTTTGTGATCATTTTTGGTGGTCTGGGCCCAGACAGTCTCTGTGGGGATGGCAGGAGGCGAGAAGCTGAAAAGAGGTTTTGCATCTCTGCTTCCTGGTCTCAACTCTCAATAGTTTTTGGGGGGTTTAATAAGTTTCATCAGATTTCTAAACATCAAATGTTCTCCATCCAATCTTTCCTAATAAGAAGAATTATCTTTTCTTATTTAAGAAGACCGCCAATTGACACAAGTGGGTGTTGACGTGAATTCTGATTTTACTCGATCAGTTTCTGTCCTTAACCAGCAGTTTTGCTGGGTTTGGGTGATCATTGGCTTTGAGACTACAGTTCCTGAAGTCATTCAGTGTTGGCAGCTGTTCTGGAGTCTTTAGATACATCTCTCACTATTTATTTCCCCTACTTCTGCCAGGCTTGTTCTTAATTGTGTGGCTTCCTTTGAGCATCTCAATGATACTTATCAGTTCAGCTCTTGACACTTGGAGACATTGCAATACTTTTGTGTATCCATCTGCATGTTCATATTTCTTTTTCTAAGCAAGAGCAAATACAAAACCTGAGCGAGGTTGTTGTGTGTGTGTGTGTGTGTGTGTGTGGATAATAGCAAACACTGAAATACATTTTTTGCACGCAACAATGAATTTTGTTCACTCAGCTTGTCTTCGCTCAAAATAAATGTCTCCTCAAAACGCAGCACTTGTACTTGCAAATTCTTTTCACGTGCGCTCAGAGTAGTAACACAAAAATAACACCATAGGCCAGTATGTCCCAGGCTAACACACAGACAACCATTCACACCTGCCATTGATTTGGAATCACTCATAAATGTGGATGCATGTGTTTGACTGCGGGTGGAAGCTGAAGAGAGCATCTGC